GCACAATGAATTATACTGAAAGTCAGGAAGATGACTTCCTAGGCAATAAGTCATCTTCAAAAATGTGTTTGATCAGTTGCTGAAGTTGGCTGATGTGTTTAGATTCTCTTAGTACCTGGAAGCACATAGCTAACTGAAATAGGAAAAAGAAATGGGAGTGATATGATTGTAAAGGAAATAAAACCTTTTGAGATCACTAAAGTTCCAAGTTTAGCTCTGACTTAACTCTGAGGAAAAGCTTCCAGTTGAATACTTAATTCCAAACAATTTGCCATCATTTCTAAGCTGGTTTTTGCCTGCTGGACTACAGAGCATAAGGTCAGGAAACTTTACTTGTGTAACTGTATTTGTGATGCAAATATTCTCACATCTGATTTTCCTTTTATATTCTTGTAAGGAATGTTGAATACTTCATAGAGGCAAGACTGGCAGGCAATCGTTTGTGTAAAAACATTCTCAATCATTATTTCAAAGTTTTCTTTTATTATTCATTACCTGGTGACAGCGTGCAACAAGGTAGCCTTTCTGCAGTTATTACAGCCTGACTGGTGCGTTACTGAGGTTGCAGAATACTGTAAAGGAACAAAATCCATAGGGAGCAAAGAAGTATTTGGTAGTGTCTGTATGCAGCTCAGAGTTGAATGAACTACAGGTATTTTATCTTTCCTTGGGATGAATGTAGCTTCAAGCTGGTTTACAAATCAATGGGTATCCAGTTCCACTATTTACATAGGCTATCAGGCCATATTGTCTTCTTGATTACATTAGTGTTGCTTCATATAAATATACTTGAATTCTTCGCAGTTATCTGACATTTACAACAGCATGCCTTAAGAATATGTCCTAAAGCATGTTGCACAAGAGACTTTCAAGGAGCAAGCGTTACAACGGCGTTCCTTTTCTAAATAATTTCAACCACTGGCTGCATGCACAGAATGAGGGATGCGTCTCAAAGCAGTTGGAAACAGCTCCACAATCTTGATGAATTGCAGCTTGACATTAAAGAAACATACAGAAATGACCACTGCAGTTTTTCTATCCAGATTCCTCAATCTGGAAGAAGCGGAAACAATATCCTGTTAGAAAATGGCATGTATATAATGAAGTAGGTGATTCAGCTGAGTGGTCCCAGACCCTGACATGGGTATGGCAACAGATGAGAATGAGATTTATCAGCCTGGAGCGGAGGGAGATGTTTGTTGATAAATACTGATAGATTTCTGGCGCATAACTATTGCTGGCGGGGGAGCCTGGGCCGAAAGGAAAGCAGCCAAAGCTGGCTCCCTAGCGAGAACAATGTCCTCTCTGCTGATTGCTGTGATAGCTTGTTTAACATAGCAGCCGTCTGGCTAGAGCCAGACTCAAGTGCAGTGATCCTATTAAGGCATCTTAAATGCTCTTCATGGCCTCCCTAGCACTGAATGAAAGATCACAATTAGCCTGAGTTATAACCGAAGCCAGTGATGGTGACGGTCTATTAAAAATGCTGGGTACTCAGGACGGACTCCTGCCCTGCAAACTGCGGCGTGTTGGTTTTTTTGGAAGATACCGTCTTCTGGCAAAGCAGAGCGTAAGAGAGTGGTGGAGGTATGCGAATGTGCAGGCATAGGGATGCTTTTGGCCATTAGGTGCATGGGTTGGGCAGCAGTTGCAATAGGCGGGTCACATGTAAACCTGTCGGCTCCCCAGGACTCCAGGAAAGGAGCGTCAGAATGGGTTGTGGTGAGTGTGAAATTGTGCTAGGCGTGCATAATGCAGTGATGCTGCTAATCAAACCCCTCTCACTGTGACTAATCAGAAAGATCTATTTGCTATTCCAAGAAATTAGTTGGAAGAGCAAGCACATAAACTACTGTGAGAAATAAAGAACAAATCAGAAGCTTAGGCACAGGCAAAGATAAGGACTTTGATCACAGTAGTTTAGTGGGCACAGAAAGAGGACAGAGAAGATAAAAGAAACTAATAAAAATGCTGATGAGAACAGTTAGGATCTGCTGAGAGAAGCAGCCAGTAATCTAGACCACGAGGAATAGATAAGAAGTTATGTGCCTTCCTGGTGCTTAAAGAAACAGCAGCCGTAGGCACCTGAAAACAAATTTTTCCTCAGCATAACTCTATAGCAATCTTGCATGGATGCATGTGGTCCCTATTTTTAAAGAAGAATTTCTTTAGGAGCCATAAATGCACTCTCTTCAGAGCAGCAAGGAAGAATATATATTACTTAACAAAACAAAAGATGCCAAAACCCCCAAACTTCCTAAGAGGCAGCCCAGGCCAATGGATGGAGTATTAGCCTGGGAGACAGGACAACAAGATTGTCTTCCCAGTACTTTCCATGACTATCAGGTGGTCTGAGAAAAGTAGGGTATCCTGTTTTTACATGATGGAAAGACTTGGGGCTTTGAGAAAAATGTCGGTTCACTAGAAAGTACATAGTAAAATTCAGAAAGTTGGGACTGCTTCTCTCAGCAGAGAGGCTACTAGTCCAGTAGGCTATAAGGACTGTTTTCTTCTCTTTGTGATTTAAACCCTGATTCTTTCTTCATACGTTTTTTTGTACTGATATTATTCCTACCTGTCAGCATGGATAAGTGGGAGGAGAACCAGATTCATGGTCTCTCTGTAATGAAGTTATTTCGCTTGAGTGCAGCTGAGCATCTGTGTGTCTGTTCTTTGTGTGTCTAGATTTCCATGCTTACATAACATCTTTAGCAATATTAATTGTGGCAAAGGAGATTATATGTTGTCTCAGTTGTGTATATAATGCAAATACGTTGTATAGACATCTCAGACTAGATATTAGGAAAGTTTCTTTACTGAGGGGGTGATCAAACACTGGAAGAGGCTTCCTAGAGGTGGTCGATGCCCCATGCCTGTCAGTGTTTAAGAGGCAATCGGACAATGCCCTTAATAATACGCTTTAAATTTTGGTCAGCTCTGAAGTGGTCAGGCAGTTGGACTAGATGATCCTTGTAGGTCTCTTCCAACCTGAACTATTCTATTCTATAAGCCACAGAAGGATCAAACTGCTAAAGAGAGCAACTATTAGCTGACTGACACTGAACCAAACCTGCAACTAAAAGAGGGAATGCTAACAGAATAGCCAGTGTGAAACTCTAAAGAGATTTATTTATTCCAGTCAATCAAAAAAGCAAAACAAAACTCAAGGAAAGAAAAAAAAAATCCAAAGCCCTAAACAACTGCTTTTCAAAAATTTCACCATGAGACCCAGAGAAATTCCTATCTGTTGATTACTCTTTGAAGAAAAATGAGCAAAGTTAACTCTTTCAGCTTGCAAATGTGGCCAATAGTTGTTTAAGGATATAATTTCATGCTTGGAAAGAAACTACCCTGTAGCATCCTGATGCCAATTAGGAGCAAAAAGTACTCATCAGTGTCAGTATGATTAAAACACAAGTAACTTTTCTTGAATTTGAAAGGAAAGAAGCCCACGCTTACCTGTGCTCTTAGGGAAGAAAAAAAGGAGCATGCAGAGGAGAAAAAAAGACGCAAGGGTACAGATGGTATCATTGCCTATTGGGTTGATTGCACAGCTTCTGAATGAAGTTTCACTCTGGAATGTTGCCTTTCACAAAACAATGTAACAAAAAAGAAAATGTTCCATTTCCCTTTCATCCTAATCAAAGCAGGAGAGCAGGTCTCAGTATTGCTTTAATCTTTGTTTTCAATAGTAGTTTCTATTTTTCTTCACGGTTGTATCATCACACTCCAAAAACATTGGGAGGAATTCACTTGGAGCAGTCAAAACAAATACACAAGTCTGTTGGTTTGGGCCCCACCTCATTGTTTCCTTTTTGCGCAGCATAGGCGTTCTGCTTCCAAATTAAGCTATAGACTCCCGTTGCACAGATGAAACACCGAACCACGCGGAAATTGGGTATATCAGCACCATCCCCGTGCTGCTCCCTAAGCCTAGCTGTCCTTCCAGGTGGTGAAGCTGTATACGTGACAGAGGGCAAAACCCTTCAGAGCACGCGATGACTCCCGTGCCGTCCAGTACAGATGATGAACAATGAGCGCTGAATCACTGCAAAGCAATCACATTACCATCTTGGCTGTTGCCTCCAACCCGACCTCCTACTTGTACGTTGATCACTTCTTGATTAGTTCATGCTCCGGTGCTGTCTTTTGTGCACGAATACCCAGGAGTATGAAGGATGATGTTTAGCGGGCTCTTGTTGATGCCCCTGCTAAGAGATTATCTCCATGACTCTGCACTGGCAAACTGAGACACAGGGATCTGGAAGTCAAAGGTGAAGTCTGGATTATAGCTGCCCGTGTGTCCCAGATGACAGGGTATTAGGCACTAGATTGGATGTTTCATCTCTATTGAGTCTCATCCTTCATATTATCTATGTTCTCTGGGATAGAAAAACAGTTTACTTGGCATTTGTACTGCTCCACTCCCCTATATTGGTGCTGATCATTGCAAATCCACTAGATTATGACAAGGGCAGTTCCTTCCATTCACGAGTAGGTCATCTGGGTGGTGTAACACATATGGTCCTTCACAAACACATTACAAATGTTACTTTTGACTGATCTTTTTGACTGGCCCACAAAAATAAGGCTACTTAATTGAACAGTATGTGTTAAAGCTAATCAAATAAATAGCAAGGAAATGCATGGTTATTATTCATAAACTGCAAGCTATTTGAATGTTTTCCTTCACTGTGGTTGGAACCCATGTGGTAGCATTAGTTCAGTTCAGCCAGACAAAACACTTTCTTCACAAGGGGGACTTTATATACATCCACAATAATTTTAAAGAATACTGAATACTGCAATTTGCCTTTTTCTTATAGCTCTCTTGGTCAGTTTTGTTTCGCTACCTGAAACTTTCTACTTCTAATCTTGCTGTACCATGTTCAGTGCCATGTCCATTGCATATTTATCGTGAGCTTCTCATCTTTCCCTTATTCTTGCAGCATTACAGACAAACTAGAAAGCAGACACTGGAAAATCCCAAAACAGATAAATTAATGTATGCTACAGCTTGATGCCTCTCGCTTAAGTCTTGTTTTCAGCTTTTTAAGTTCAGTACTTTTATCAATTTTAAGACCATAGTCTGTGATTTTCCAGGCCTCTTCATAATGCTGCATTTCAAAATTACATTGTGCAATCTTGTGAAATGTTTTGGTTAAAATTTCACTGCCAGGGCCATTCGTGATGCTGCACAATGCCATAGATTCGTCTAACTGCAGTGCCTCAATATACTGCTTAACTGCTGCTTCTTCCTCAGACATTGACAATAGCAGGTGTCCTGTTGAGCAGTGGTCCTCAACGCGTGTTTTAAGACTGTCACAGCCATGCTTCTGGATCACTTTCTCCATATCTTTTAAAGCTTTGCCATATTTTTTCAGGTGCGTAAGGCAAGCAGCCCTCTGCCGGAGATACCTCTGATTATCTTTGCTTGTCAGGACAGCCAGGGTGTAATAACCAAGAGCCTTCTCATAGTGATATTCTTTAACCAGCACATTTCCTTCTTGGGCTGCTACCTGCGGACAGAAAGTTACTTAATATTAGTTACTAAAAGTGGGAAAAAAAAGAGTAAAATATCTAGTCTGGACTGGCCACAGGTAGACACAGACAGTAAGAAATTTTGGATACTTTTTTAAATGTTGAAATTGCATCTAGTTGGAGAACATATAATTGGCATATTTTTTGCAGGCAGATATAAAAATCTTGGATCAATGGGCACTTGCTGTTATCTCAAGAGTTTCTGACCCACTCTTTTTTGTTTCTGCATGTTTTGCTAAAACTGTCTCTGAACATTTCTTCTGAAGTTGTTTACGTTCCTTAGGAACGATATGTGAACTGAAAACTGAATGGACCAAACTCTAAAAGAAGACAGTGTTCTCTTCACAAAACCAAATCTCTGCCACGGTCTGCTCTAACAGGTGACTATATGGCAATTGCATCTTCTGGTCAATAGACAGTTAGCCCCATGTACTGCCCCACAAATATTTGCATGTGCTAATAATGAAGGCTGGTCTCTACTGAAGTTTACCCAAGCTATAGGAAAAAATGGCCAACTGATGGCTTTGCTAATCATTAATCTCAAGTGCAAGTGAACTATCTGCCCTTATGTGAAGGGAAAAACAAGAAAACAGAGAAGGCAGAAAGAGCCACATAATTTTTAGGTTCACAAAGGTCAATAAAGAAAACTCCATTAGGACTATTAACCTCAAATGGATTTCTCATTGTTTCCCTTTATTGGTAATAAACAAAGCTTTTAACATGCTGCAGCAGAGTGAATATTTAAGTTATAAACAAGACTGCCACCAGCAGCTTAGGTCTTACAGAAGGCTGAGCTAAACAAGCTGACGCTTCAAGCATCAGTTAAATGTTTTCATCAGTCTCACTCCATGGGATATCACACGCTGCTTTTGGATGCTTGTGGCTCCCCAAAATTCAGTTAGCCCAGCCACTGCGTCAGGAGCCACCCTTGACAGCCGGCCCAGGTCTTTCAGTCTCTTTGTGTGCCTTGTCTTCTTATTTTGGTTGACTTAGATTAGAATTGATTGCTGTTTAACAGAACTAAGGAAAACAGGTTCTGGATGAAATGGATCAATATTGCAGGTCAAGTCCAAGCACCTCATTTGAGACCAGTGCCATGAAATAATTTACCCATTCATAACAGTTTAGGAGGAATTCTACCCCAGTTATTTTGCTCTAAAGGAATGTAAAATCCTTTATGTAGGCATATTTGTTAGAGAGTGTCTCAGCTTCTAAACATAGAAATAGAGATAGGACCTCTACTCAAATGGTGTCAATCACTGGCTTTAATAGTTCTGGCCATAAATTGTAAGGCAGCCTGTCCAAAACCATCTCAGATGTCTGTTTGTGTATACATTTAAATGTGTAGCAAATGTAGTTTATCCTTTCAAGTGTTTTTAAGGCAACTAGTCAATGCGAGTGTTTTCTCATTGGCAGGATTTTAACAAGGGATCAAGATAGAATTGCATCTGCCTGTGAGGAGCATCCTGACAAGAGAAGATTTTTTTCCCCTAGAAATTCTAAAGTTCTAGATCACATTGTTCTAAAGAGCACAGTGTGGTTCCTCAAAATACCTTGCGTTTGTACAGAGAAATTGTAATTTTCAGCCTTTAAAGTGCAATTGTTGTTTCAATGGCAGAAAAAAATGTAATTTTTGTTGTTCTCCTGAATGAGTAATGCTGAACCTGCTAGCGTGCTAACCAGGATCATTTTGGTTTACTGCACCACATACGATATTGCCACTTCTTAACTGAGCCACTGCTTTGACTTCTTCACATTCCACTGACGGTCTCCAAAGTAAGCAAGCCACGAGACTCTGGATTTCCTGCCATACTTGGAGGAAAAAGGCACATCTGAGAATAATTTATTCTCCCTCATCTTCACCAATGGAGTAAACAGGGGTATTAGGTAGCTGGATTCTCTTTTGGCTCTGCCTGACTTAAAGGAACTGAGCTGGGACCCATTTTTGGTGTATAACACAGCTGGGTTAAAATTACTTGCACATCATCTTCTGAACAAAGATAAATATGAAAAGAAGACTTACGGAAGTGCATAGAAAGCCAGAAGGATATTGCACAACTGAGTTCAGCTGCTTTCTGCGTGTGGCTTTTGAGAAGCACTTTTTTCCATCAGCCTCACTGCAGGTAACTTTGGAAGGCCAAGAGCCGGCTATGTAGTCCATTCACAGATGAACTGTAGTCCATCTTCAAACTTGTCACTAAAGATTTGATTACAGCTTCTGAAATGATTCTGGTCCCATCTGGAAAGGGCTTGGCAGGCCGTAAGTGACTGGTTATTGGACTGCTTCCTGGATTAGGTCTCTCTGTCCCTTTCTACCATCTAGCTACCTCACTGAGTGGTAAAGGACTGAAAATACAAATATTTTTGTTGCCTTTTTGGTTCCAGTCCCTAGTGGCTAATCTTATGTTGAAGTTGACCACGGTTCAATTCCTTAGAAAGAAAATAAGTGAGAAGTTTAATGGACATGGAATTATGGCCATGGTCTCTGAGCAGTGAATACCAGAAGACGGATTGATAAGCATTGAGCTTTGGAAGAGGGTTGGATGTTTTCAGAACAGTTTGGAAGAAGTCTTTCCTTTACCTGCAGACCCCATTTGGGGTCCACATGCCGTGAAGGCATGTGGAATGGCAACTTCTACCTTAGGCTGAGGGCCTAATTCTGACACAGACCATATAGCCTTTGAGACCATTTCTATAGGAGTTGGCTCTGCATATCCTATAGCATGTCAACAGCCAACAGAAAGTGCAGCTTGGAGGATCTGGGCAAGGAGCTAGCAATCAGTCATGCATTTAACCTTTGACATAGGAAACCGAAGGGTTGAAGCTGCACTAGCAGCAAGCAAACTCCCTTCCTCTGACCTTTTGCAGTTTAATAAATCTTTCAGATTCCTATTCCCATGTGGCTCTCCCAGTTGTTTACAAATTTCTTAGCATGGGACCCCTTAGACTATAAATAATGGAAGAACTTCATTGCTTTGTTTTTCATGAAAAAAAAATCAGTACATCAAGGAGCTCTCCTTCCTCCACCCTTTCCTATTCAGCTTATGTAGCATTATTTTTAGCTTTTCAGACCAGACTCCAGGATAATGATGACACATTTCTATAATGCCTGTAATCTCCAAACACTCTAAAACAACGCAGCAGTAATACTTTTGTGCATGGAGTGCTGAGGCTGAGGGCTGAGCGTAAACTACTAAACTCTTCTTTGCTTCAGTGTCCTTACTTGTGAAATGGAGGTAACAGAAAGAACACCCTCCCCTAGCGCGTAATTAGGAGCCATGGCAAAGTAAGGCCATCATCGGGGTTTTGGGCACTAATTCTGTCTGTAAGCTTTTTCACTGAGATCTTCCTTTCACACACAAACTGGAATAACCTTTTAGGCAAAAGGAAGTGCTACTGGAAAATCCTTTGAGACACGGGGCAGGTGAATTAACCAATTCCTTCCCCACCCCAGCAGCGTACATACTTATCCCCATGTCACAAAATATGTATTAAAAAACTCTTGTGATTCTGGGCTAATCAGTAATAAAAGTAATCACACTCAGTAAATCTTTGAAGATTAGAGATTATGGAATGACTCCCAGGTGCTTCAGTCCAAATGTTTATTCAGTTGAACAAAAGCACAAGATTAAAGATTAAAAAAAAAAAAAAAAAATTACTCTGTTTTACTTCCAACACTGTTACTGAGTTCCAGTCTTGAAATCAGTCCAGCCACCCCTATTTTCTCAAGTGGCAGAGAAATCTTTCATGATAAATAAGCCACCACTAAGGGGTTTTATTCCAGAGCATGTGGACAGCTGCCAAAAAAAGACAGAAATAAAGCACCTCTCCCATTTTAAAGGTTTCACTAGTGAAAGGCACCAGTCAGTTCCTAATACATCAGTGCAGTTTAAGATGTACAAAAATTAGTTTGGGGTTGTTTTTTTTTCCTTCTCTTTTTTTTTTTTTTCTCTTGTTGACAGCATAAGAAAACCCTTCCTGTGTTTTCTCAGAAAGCAGTACAGATGGACTTAGCTGTGAGACTTCCATACAGAATGAGTGATGTGGCAGCAAGGGAAATTCAGCTGTAAAACGTATCTTCATTTATAGACACCTCCTTGGGGCCTCCATAGACACATTCTTGATTGTACCTTTATCAACTTCATATCATGAAAGATTGCAAATTTGTTCTAAAATCTTCAAACTCTTCCCCATAAGACTGAACTTTTTACATTATTCAGAGGAGAGGGGCTCTTTTCTCTGTAATGGGGTATACCTAGGGACCGGTAAATTAATACTTGTTTACTTATATCCTCCTGCTGTTTTGCTAAAATACATACAAAGTACTCCTCTCAAGATGCATTAAGTATATCAGCATGTTGTTTGTTTTATAACCTGGGAGAAAGCATAACAATATAGCTTCTCACCAGGGCGCGCACAATCTACAAATTGAATAAAAGGAAGCAAGCTGATTCTCAGAACACGGAGTTTCTGGGTAATCAGAATTGCAGATGCTTGAGTGAATGTTAAAACTCCTCACCATCAATCTGACCTTGTCCTGCCTTATTATTGGAGATGCTTTCTCAGAGCTGGATGCACTTTGGGGGAGAAACTTGAAAAAAATACTGAAAAATACATACTTGGGTGAACTAGAGCAATGTGCCATTTTTGTGTCAAACAGTTTTAGCTAAGAAAACCAATACCAACCTCAAAGGCTAGTCATTTTATAAAAATGTGAATATATTTAAATTTCTAAATGTTACACAAAAGGGCAAAAAGGATTGAAGCATTTAATGTGACATGACTAATTGGAACCTTCAGTTTTATTTCATCAAGAAAATGAACAAGCCATGAATTCTCCTTCCTCAGAAGCCAGCTATGAGCACCGTGTAACTCATACAGAGTACAATACGAGCAAAGATCTTGTTAAATCTCTAGCTGCTGCCCCTCACATCCCCTGCATTTTAGCATTGGGATTAAACAGGTCTTGTGCTAGGGAGACCAACAAGAAATTCCCCCAAGTGGTAAGAAATGGTAACTATGAATTATCAGAGACTGAAGCAAGGTCACTGCAGTGAAAGAAGTTTGGCTTCAACTCCCTGTTCTGGCTGAAGTGAAGGCTGGAGGAAGAAGCCAGTTTGTTCCTCGTTCATCTGATAAATGGTCTTCCCACACACTTCTGTTAAAGACAAGGCAGGGAAAATCTCTGCAGCCTAATTTTGCTTCCTATTTCTTTCCCCACTGAATCCACAGATGTGGCATCAAAAAAGGATTGTACCTGAGAAAGATGCTGCTGTTGCTTAGTGTCTACGAAGTTCAGGAGAAACCCCAACTCTCTTTCATCTTTCTTAGCTAGGATGCTGAATGAGTGAGCTGCCGCTGGCACGTTCCTCCTCTTCAGCTGCAGCACAGCTAGTCTTGCACTAGCAAAATCATCAGCAAGAGAGTGGCCAAACGCTTCCCAAAGGTGATCAAGGGCCTCTTCGTACCTTCCTGTTGGTTAACACCAGTACAAGCTATATAACCCATTCCATGTGGAGAAACAGACATCAAGAAAACTTTCTAAAGCAGGATTTAGGTAGCCTGTCCACAGTCCACATCTAAGGGTATTAATTACTTCATACCCTTTCCCAAAATATTTGCAAACTTCTCTTGAAAAGTACTATACAACAATACGCTTGCCATTTAACATTCACTTTCTTTTAATTTACTGCTCATTCACTTAGTCTGATCAGCTACGTAAAAGAATGGGAACTTACCATTTGCAATCAAAACATCTGTGTAGAAGATGTGATATTGTGCATCCTTGCAAATTTTAATTAGTGCTTCTGCAATCATGAGAAGATCCCTGAGTGTTTCTTCTTTTGAAAGGTCGTTAGTAGCAACAAGATCAGTTAATGCAGTCCTGCCATGCTGAAGAAGCCACTGAGTGATCAACCCTTGGGCTTCATGCTTTAAAGACAGGATTGCTGGGATCACTACTCCTGCCTCCACCTTCAGTGCTGAGATCAAATCTTGCACTGCCTCCTATGTAAAAACAAGACCAAAAAATGAAATGGTAGCACTATGTATTGATAATTTGTTCTTTCAGGTGCTTTCAGTTCTCTGCTGTCCCACAGGTCAGCTGCACACCTTTGGAAGCTCTTTGCTCTTCCCTGTCGTTGTGCTGCATCTTTTCCATTTGCAAAGCTGATATAAGAGCATAAAGACAGCTTTGAATGACTATTTGCAAAGTGTTTTGAACTCCTCAGATTATAATTGAAAAAAATTCTTACAGCAACAAGAAAGAGATTCTGTGAATGAGTAAGTGCAAGCAGGATTTGGCTCAGCCAGGATAAACCAGCATGAATCCACATACCCAATGGGAGATGTACCATTTCCAATTCACTGCAGGATTGGTGTGATCTGCAGGTAAAGTGTAAGGCTATTGACCATATTAGAAGCAGATAAACCGTGCAAACATCCGACATGATTTCCAGGTGATGATATACTGCAATCTCCAAAGTAACACTAATTGCACACATGAGCTTTTCACAGATGATGGGGAGGGACTTGCTAAACCTTGAAACTGTTTTTTCTTTTTCCTCTTGTTGTTGCTACATTTCATCTAGCACAACATCATGTCATGAAAATGGGAGATCAAATATAGCAGAGAGTTTGCAGCACTGCAAATCAATGCAGAGTAGTGACACTGAATACGATCTATGATTAAGGTTTAGTCTTCCTCTCTCTAGACTTGGGAAAGCAAATGAGTTATGTCAAGTGGACTACTTAAAGATCCAGCCAAAACAAGAGCCTTCACTGACCAAATTCTGTGAGGAGCTCTTTTGATTTCAGTGAGTCCATGACAGCCTGTGGTACCTTACACTAATATTGCTTAATACAGTCAGAAAAATCACCAGCAAATAAATATAGTGATAATACCTTCTGCTGTTTCAGAGCAAGGTAAATGAATCCTCGTCCACTTAGAGCTTGCACGTTCCTAGGGTCATCCTTTAGGATAGCACTGTAATCAAAAATAGCAGTTTTCTTCTGGCCAAGGCGCCCATAACATTGAGCCCTGATGAGAAGGCAATCTTCAGCATAACCACCTGGAGGAGAGAAATGCAGCCATGCTTCCTTGAAAGTTCTCAAGTCTGCTGCTCTAAAACGGTGCAGTAAATCCCAGTGTGTGCTGACCACCAAGCCCCACCAAAGGGCTTCAGAGTGGCTAAGTGAAAATGATGTGGTAGACCTATGTGTTATGTTATGGTGACTGCAGGAGTGAAAAGTATTGCTGCTCAGAGCTGTGGTGAGGCTGCAATAAGAGGGGTGTCCTGGATGGAGGCAAATGTGCTATGGTAAGGAATTGCAATCCACAGATGTGACTGGAGGAAGAATAAGGAGGGTGCTGGAGAGGATGTCCAAGGATATCCATATGAAGCTATGGAAAAATTCCATTTTGCCTCAGGATACCTGATTACGTACAATGAGAGTACTTAAGCGGTAGTTTCCTTTATTTTTGTTGCCAGTGGAATTCCTGTCGCATACTATCAGTTCTGATTTGAAAGGAAAAAAAAGAATCTATGTCAGGTTGGTTTCCAAAATACAGTACTGAATCAGTTAAGTGTCCTGCTGAGGCTAGCAGAATTCTCTCAAAGAACAAATTTTTGCTGGCAAAGTCTTGAAAGTGTTTCCTGGTGTGTATTACAAAGACAAGGCTACTCTGATGTTCTAGGTCTTGCGGTGTACATGTCAATGTCATTCTGCGGGGAAATGGTGAGTTGTGGTTCAGTGTTGCTGCTCAGGACTAGAGTTCAGTGTTTAGCTTTGCTTCAAAATTCCTATCTAACCTCAGAAAAAACACTCAATTTCTTTGAATGTCATCATCTAACTTGGGAAAGACATATTTCATGGCTGGTTGGAATAATTTCAATGTGTTTGACACAAGCCACAGAAACATTACTGGGACATAGAGACAAAGTAGTTTGGGTGTTACGCTAACCTAATACCAACGTCAGCCTAAAAGCTTTCGCACGCAGCCAGCAGGCCCACCCACCCGTGTACCTGGTCGTTCTCTCTGTGACATAAAACTAGCCAAGATTCTCACTTATGGATGGCTGACAGCAGAAACCAGTGTATCTTCGTACTTGCTCTACAGGCCACCAAGAAACAGACAAGCCTGGACCAACAAAAAAGTCTGGGCTGCAGTAGGCGCAAAAAACCTTTTCAGGGCCTATATTTTGCTACTAAGATGAATTTTTCAAAAAAGAAAGATTCTGCATGTTATAAACAGGAGAACCAGTTCTGGAAATAGTACAGAGAGAAAAAAAAATAATTCTAACAGTGATTTACAGAAAGAAGGGGCACTTTGCTGAGAGTAGTTGTATGGCTTCAATTTGATTTATAACTGTAACTGTCCTACTGTGATTCAACTCTAACTTTCCAGGCAGGAACAGGAACCACACTGTGCCAGGCACACCAAAAACACAGGCCCCACTTCAAAGAGTCTTCAGTCTAGTTAAGCATGCCAAAAGAACATTGTAATAAAAAATTGAATGGGTGGAAAAGGCAACAGAATGAAAATCAGAAAATCACATTGCTCAACTAGCTCAAAAGCTTCCTAGTTTCTCATAAAAACAAATACACATGTCAATCAAACCTGTCTCTCCTCAAATATCCATGACTGCTTTTCTGATTGCCTCAAGGTCTCAGCAAGAGTGGGCCTCCTCAGGAACAGCCAAAGGCAGCAAAAGGAGTGGCCTGCAGTTATTAAGCACTCAACCTTCCCATGCAGGTAATTATTTTTTCTACCTCCTCTGGAATACCTAGACTCAGCCAGCTGACAGTATAGAGAAATTCCATGTTTGCCAGCTGTCATGAAACTACTTTTATCAATTTTTGAGGAGGTCTGGAAAGCTTTGGCCTTTGTTATTCTGCCCTAAGGTCTTCCATGCATTTTCACGGGGACCTCTAAAAGACAGCATTGTGATGCTGCTCTGGAAAGCAGCAAAAGGAACATGAGGCTATTGTAAAAGGGAATGATATCTCCACATCTATCCCTCCACCACACTCCAAAGACATCATTAATGTGCAACAAGTGGAGGCAACCTACCAATGACATGACCATCATCTCAGGATCTGAGCTGGATTAGGATCCAATTCATTAGAAGGAAACCTTGGAGATTTTAGTATGATGGAATAGGAGCAGCACGAATGAGAGAAGGCGGCTCTAAGAGGAAGATATGTGAGGATGGAGGCACAAGGCCATTTGGCTGTTTTAATAAAGTGGAATCAGAAGGTACACATTGTTTTGGATAAAACAGTAATCCAGACAGGACTTACTAATTTATTGCCACACGTAATATGCACTGGGATTTCTGACACTAAGATTCTTTTTTCTCTGCTTTCAAGTAAGTGCTGCCCAAATAAACACATACAGTTGACAATGAAAGTCACGGTCCATTCATTCACTGGTTGCAGAGCATGTATCTTTCTGCCATCCACACGCTCCTTCCTTTCAAGGCAATTTTGATAAGGATCTTAATTTGCCCAGGGTTGCAATCAATAACTGTGGCATCCCAATATTGGGTGATGAATCATCAGTGCCACCGTAAATATTTTTTCATAGCGAGGTCAGCAAATGCAGTCTTGCACAGCTGCCTGCAGAGATGAGCCAGCAGACAGGCTCCTAGCAATTCTTTTACAGTAATGAGGCTTCTTCTCCCTCCTGATATGCTCCAAAATTTCTGTACCAAAGGTTATTATTGCTCTGGAGCTCTATCAATTGGCTCCCATAAAGACAATATCTATTTCTTAACAAGCATCTGTTCTAGCAGGTGGGGAGTTGACAAGCTGGAATGCATGTGTTGTGAAATGGAACCGTCTCAAAGCAATTAACAGGTTTTTTTTCCATTTTCATAAACCAATCTCTCTTCTTCTCAATGCTGCTGTCATAATATTTGCTCAGAGTAAAAGGCAGATTTCCATACAAATATGGTTTTACTTGGAACATGCCAGAAGCATTTCCATGTTGGCCTGATCTCTCTTCTTAGGAAAAGCTAGGATAATGATGCATGTAAGTAGGTGCATTCATTCTTTTGCACTGGAACTACGCATTCATGGGTCTTGGAACAAGAAGGCATGTTGTTTGCTGCAATGACTGTATTTACAGCATGTTCATTCTAATGAAACAGGAGGTACAAAATAAGTTTCATTGGTAGGAAGGTTTTCGGGGTACTAACTGATGTAACAAAGCCTGAAAGAGGGGAGCCTTCTACTTCTACACTGCTCGTCTAAAATGGGCTGAAGCTGGCTCTGTTTCAGTAGCTTTTCCAAATTACTTACCAGCTAGCATCTCCTCTAAAAGTTACACAAACAAATAGGATGAAGGCTGCTTCCTTCTTCTGAAAGGGGGATTTCCTTCATCTAGAAGATTTTGTTGTGTCCCCTCATTCACACTCTTTCAAGGACTAATTGCTCACAGGGACCAAATTCCCCTCTCATTTTTCACAAGTTTGGCTTTGATACTCTTTAAGAAACAATTATGTTGTATTTTCAAAGAAGCTCTCATCTCTTTCTAGATCAAGTTTAATTTTCTGGGGAAACATTTCCAAATATATGGTCATCCAACCTAGCAGTTGGACAACAGGATCAAAGATCCCTGGCTTCTCTTGACATTACCAGGCTGCAGGCTTACCTCAGCCACCTGTGTGCAGGGTTACTGAAAAATCAAGTTTTATGGAAGGAAAAGTAATTCTGTAGGATATCCTTGAGACTTTTCCCTGTACTTTGAGCATGTATCTGTTGCTGTGATAAAACAGCCTCCCTACATTAAGTACGGAAGAATCCCCACTCCATTCTACTTTTGCTTTACTAATGGAAGAACAGCATTACACTGCTTATCCTAAAAGGGTCTTTTTTTAAACCACAGTAAAGAAGGAAAGCAAGGCACATAAAAAGGAAAATAATCTAATAGCTCTGAGAAGATAGCACTGCTAACATTAAAACATGTAGTTTGTTCAACAGCACAGCTGTACTTGTGAGAATATCTGTGACCATACGTATGAAAAAAATTATGGTTACAGATCAATTTGTCCAGACCAATTACTCAGAAGCAACCTACAGCAACCGAATAGTAATTGCAGTCTGACGTTTGGTAGCAGATCTACCGTAACAGAAGACTCTGAAGTGTAAGGAAGACATACATTGTGTTTCCTGTACAGTCTGCACATTACTTTTCTGGAGCAGGAAAAACAGGGAAATTATTAGACTGGAATTTTCAAACCACCAGATGGAAATAGATGGGCTTAGGATGTTAAAGATCTTTTCCAAGTTATGAAGGAATTGTGGGTTCTTTGTGTTGGTATGACCCAGTAAGGGTGGTTTACACTTGAACTTAACTTCTGGCCTGTGAACAATGCAATTTAAAGTAATCCTCAGCTGTGCTCCAGAAAGATTTCATGTGCTAAACAACAGAACAAAATCACATGCTGGGCAGGTGAAGAAAAGGGGCTGATGACCCTGTAGAACTGAACTGGACCCTTGCAACCCATTTCAAGGAGTTCACAAGCTACTTATGGCACAGTAAGAACTGCAGCCATTGTTTAACTGCACTATTTCATGGTCTGGATGAGTTGCTACTTTAAACAAATTTTATCCTGCTCTTCACCTGCCTTTGTAAGTCTACTGTTTCAGTCTTCTCATTGGGGAAATGACAGACGAGAATTGGTTGGATATGCTTGCCTACCCACTGATCTGATTTCCCATAGAAGTAAATCTCCTGTCAGTATCTTGACAACCCTACCTGAAGCAATGATGGCAAAGGAAAGGTAGGCAATGGCCTCTTTGATGTCAGCAGCATCCTGTTTGTCCTTCAAGATGGTCAGTGCTCTGAAATGGCAATGAGTTTGCATCAACTTCCGGTCTTCATCTTTGAAAATATCCATGATTGGCAGGAGGCAGGACGTATCTCCAATTCTGATCACTTTCTTTAGCAGCTTAACAATGTGAGAGGAAATGGCAGAAGGGAAAGATTGGCATGAAAAGATAAATTAAGTCATGCTAAAGCTGGAAATATTACTGCCTGATGAGACAAGTATGCTCTTACCCAGTGCTTCCCCACGTTTCACTGGGGCTTCAGCCAGCCACGGTCGCCAAGGACCGTGAATCATTTTTATTTAACTTCTCAGCTGGCCCTAGTGTAAATGCATGTTGGAGAAAACATTACTTCTTATCTTTTCTCACCACCACTGCAGCTGTGGAAATCATGCTGGGGAAATACTAATTCTGCTTTGCTTACTTTGGGCAGCATCTGCTCCAGACTGGCAGTTAACTGTTTTTATAAATACAGCTGAACCATGGGATGATTGCTCCAATGACAGAAAGCTTCTGTGGAAAAGAAAGATTCCAGTGACCCCCTTTGACTGTAAAATGGGTACCAGTGAATTAATGGAAAATCAGTGAAGTGCTGTGCCTTTCTTTTAGTATTGCTGTTGGGAATCTGGGAAAAGTATGGATTCAAATCCACAAACTACTGTCCTCCTGGAAAAGAATCTTGCCTGACATATAGTATCTTTTCCACGATTCACTAGAGTGAAAACCACCAAGCACTTTTTTACTATGTTTCATAGAGGAAAAGAATCAAAAAGTGTTTCCTCCGGTAAAGCAAATGTGCTTAGCAGGTACTCAACATTCAAATCTGAGCCAGAGAAGCCAGGACAAGAAAAAAGTTATCTTGATGCCCCAGGCACATCCATTGAACTTATTACTTTCTCTATTTTTATTAATAGATACAAGTGTCTGGGTGCTGACAGGCAGGTGGGATAAAAACATTTTGAAGATAAGTTTTCGGTGACACCTATGTTCCACCTAGAACTTGTAGCAGAAGCTGCAGATAGGAATCCAACTTCCAAGGGCAACATATGAACTCATGTCAGTCATTAATAGCCTTCCCAAAGTCAGAAAATTATACAAAGCTTTTATTTTTTGTAGGGAGTAGTGAAGTGGTGACAATAAAACATTTCTCTTTATTGCTCATAGAATTTATATGGGATTTTTAAAAATGCAATAGTTCCCTCTGATGGCAGAACCTGGTAATGCAGCTTTGTAATCCTTGGTAGGACAATCAACGTGTTGGAATCTCTTTCATGGTTTCAAGCACGAGTCATTAGCCACTAAAGAACGAAAACTACAGACTTATATTTGAAATGCTGGTTTTGTTTCTTTCCCCACCCCCTCCTACAACGCTTCATTAGGATAATCAGTTAGGTAGGAGTTCTGCTGCCTTTTCTCTAGGGGAAAATTACCAATCCCATCAATATTGTTACCAGGGGCGGGATGCTCAGTCGCGCTCTGCCTAGTTCAAAGTCTCTGATGAAAAGTGCCATTAAATAGCATGTGATGAATGGGCTGTATTCAGCTAGGAGTCCTTGTGTGGCCTGTGCTACAGACAGAGTCTCACGAGGCCTGTATTTATCAGTTTACCACCATTCCTGAGACATGTCTTGAAGCACCGGATGGGGCAGGTGCAGCCCCACTGGAAAACCCACCACAGGTTGTGTGATGGGGTGAGTTCCAACTTTGCACCACGCGATGAGGTGGCCTCACAGTGCCAGAGCCTTACAGTTGTCTTGTAATGCTGAGGAGCACGAGATGAGCAGAGGGCTGTGCTGGGAAACTGAAAGCCCTTGGAACACCCTCTGGCAAGCGCGTGTCTCTAAAGTAGTCGCTCTGAAGTTCTACTATGCATCTTCTGTATCAGCCAAAAGGGTTGTTAACCCTCTTCACCATCACTGATGACTCTCCCACCCTCTCTGCTAGCCAGGTGCTCCTTACCTGGTTGCCATCATACATGAAACCTTTCTTCAACTGCAGAAGTGCAAGTCTAGCCAGGATGGGAGACCTTTGTGGATTTCCTGAGAGCGCGAGTAAGAGGAGCTTGTGAGCTTCTTCTACACAGCCCATCTGGTACAGGGCATCAGCACAAAGGATCCGCGATGCTTCATCGGAAGTGTCCAGCTCCACCAACAGAGAAGCCAGCTGGTAAACCCCAGGGGCATCTCTGGAGGGAAAAAAAAAAAAAAAGGAAAAGACCACATTCAAGGAAAAAATGTTAATGAGAGTAACAGAGCCTCTTTGCCTCACCTGGAAGCTAAGAAGCAGCTTATCAGTCTGATATAAAAATGGATGTTACATTTTACCGTATCCAGCACCATAGATATTTCTGCCACTTAATTCCATAATCATAATCCCTCTTTATAAAAACATGTTCTTAAGCAGTTGTGGCTCTAAAGAAAGGTTAACAAATAATGATTCGTATCTGTGGTTGCAGCTGATGCCACAATGGGAAAAGGAAAAAGTAATGGTGAAAAAAAAAAATTGCCATTTCTCACGAAGAGCTGTGTGTTAAAATTTGCATGGACTCAGAAGAACGCTGTTAATAGGTAGCTTCTTGTTCCAGAAGCAGTGACCTGTGTCTAAGGGGGCTTGTGTTTGTGCCCTGATCTGCCAGTGCAACAATGAATGCGTTAGCACATTTTTCTGTCCTTCAGTTATACCACTGGAGTGCAGGCCCCAAGTACTGGGTATGAAATAGGCATCACGCAACTGAGGAAAAAGGCCATCGTAGTACTGAAATTATTAAGAGACTAAATAATGTGGGTATCAGTTGGAAAGAGCAGCCACCTGAGATGAACTTTCACATGCTATTTCCCACTTCAAATTTTCAAGTTTTCCCCTGAAATACTAGTATTTCACATGAGGAAAACCTGAGAAAGTAACATAAAAAATTCAGTTTGGGAGAAAATGGAAGACTTTTCCTGGGGTGGCATCAGACAAAACTTTGAAACACTGAAACTTTCAGAGTTAAATAGTAGCTTGGTTTATGTTGGAAGAAATAAAAAAACCTAATAAAGATACTACTTTGATGAGCAATCTTTTCTGATATTTAGAGAGATGATTTTAAGTATTAAAACCTCAGAGTCCCTCTGTTATACCTTGTTATACCTTCAAACTCAGGTTTTAATGGATTTAGCTGGAATAGTTTGGTGTTCCTGTCTCAGATCTCCCAGCCTTAAATATGACATTAATACAGTTAACACGGAAAAAAGAATTTGGATTGCCAGCACCAAGTACGTGCATAGTAGCACCTCAGCTCCGTCTTGGAAGGACACTTTCTACGGGCTTGGTACTTCACAGCCCACCAAATCCCTCAGTTCAGAGCTGAGAGTGAAAGGAGCCAGCTAGCACCAGTGAATCTGTTTTATTATGGGTGTATCTACTCCTTTAGAGGAGAAATCTCTTGTCATATTCCCTCTAGCGTCTTGCTTACTCCTAGCTTAGGCCAACTGGTGTATCATGGATTAACTGCCGTAGAAAGATTGGGCTGATTTGGCTACGTGGATCCTACTGCATTCTGACATACCAGCAAAACAATATTTTGCTGGAATAACCACACCTATGCAGTTTTATTTCAACCTGTTATGTTAATTAGGATCTTTAAAAAGGTCTATATCCTACTCCTAGTTATCTGAAGCAAGTACCCTCTCTACTACTCAAGCCACTCCCTTTCTGTTAGAAAGCCCTGTTTTTTTTCTCTGCCCACAGGCTGAACTGCCTCCTGGGTACCTCTTCTTCTGGAGCATCTTCTGTCCTTCTTCCTGGAGAACTTTTAGCAGCAGTCCTCTTTGGTTCCACGGCACATAGGACTTGCTTGTGAAGATGGTTTCTTCCAGCTTTAACTGGCAAGCTGTGATATAATCCAGGGCTGTCAAGTAATGGCTGCCACCAGAAATCCGGATAAGTCCACGCCCACACAAGGCTTTAATACAGCTGCTAGGGTGTGGGAAATCATGCTCAATGACCTTTTGGAAGTCCTGCAGGGCTTGCTGATGGTCATGAGTGTGGAGGAAGCAGAACCCTCGCAATGCTAAGAGAGTATTGTAGTAAGTTTTCTGCTCTGCTGCCAAGAGGTGGTCACAGATATCCAAGGCAGTTCTGATGTGTCCATGCAGGAGATGGCAGTCTGCTAGCCGAACACTGAGCTCACGTTTGGACCCTGGGGAGATCTGAAGGAGGAACTGGACTGTCTGGATGACAGAAGGGAGCAGTTCAGTACCATGATTGCCTCTGAGTTCAGTCCGAGTACGCACAGCCTCCCTGTATGCTGCAAACTTCAGCTCCAGAAGAGTTCTAGCCTCTTCTTCTATCCTCTCAGTGTCATGTGGTGAGAAAAGCTCTTCGAAGTGTTTCATTGCCTGGGCAGGGGCTGCTGCAAAGGCTTCTGCTAAATCCTGCATCATTTCTGGCATCCGTCCACCCAAGAAGAAATACGCAGCAGCCCGTTCCAAGAGCAGACCCAAAGCTTTCTCATCTCTGAGATTATTATCAGCTGAGAAGCCCTTGAGGGCGTTGCTACAAACTGCCACACACTCCTCAAATTTCCTTTTCTGAAAGAGGTAAGCTGCCTGCACCCTGCAAACCCAGATATCATCCGGTGCCACTGCAGACAGGAAGTCATAGCAGTTGCCCAGCCACTGGTCCAAGGAACTGCAGTCTGGGCTTTCGTTCTGATATGTTGAGAGATAACTAGAGAAGGCCTGGATGACCTGAGGCAGGTGTTCCCTTTGCCTAGTGCACACATAGGCCACTGCCTCAGCCCGATGCATGACAAAGGCTTGGATATAGTCTGCAACTCCCTTCGTAACTTGCCTCCCCGACAGCACCCATGCCAACGCCCTCAGCAGCAGCAGTTCCACTGCATACTTTGGGTTAGCCTTGAGCAGGGTATTGCATTTACTCACCACCTCCTCCAAGCATCCTCGCCTGAGCAGGGTCTCCAGTTTATATACTGAGGATGCCACATTGTTGGGACTTAGGGTGGAGAGAAAGATGGCAGCTATTCCCACACTGAGGGAGACAACAGCCACGTTCTTGCTCTGGATCTTGGGAATCTGATTCTTGCCTTTGCACCACATCTCCAGAGTGGCTATCACTTTCTCCCAGAGCCCTTTGTCCAAGGAGTTCACTTTCTGTACCGCCGTGGGGGCACTGCAGCTGAAGGCAGCCATGTAGAAAGCAGTGGCCATTGGGAACTCTTGCTGGGCAAGATGGTGGTCCGCTTCTTTGCAGAGCAGTGCAGCAAGCTCCTGAGGTGACATTTTCTGCGCTTGTATCTTTGCCGAGCAGCATGACACATGTAACGTGGCTTGTGCCTGTAAAACAGAAAATCAGCAACGTGAGGGGCTGCGGAGCACAGGGTGTTTTCACTTGGGGGGCAGCTTTCCAACTGACAGACACAAGCAAGCCGAGGTCCTGTGAAAAGCCAGCGTTTTTGTCACTGACAGGATTCCCAGGGAGCAAAGCCATGAGTAGAAACACTACAGAGGTTCTCAGCCCACAGCCAGGTAACGTCGGCCAGAAAGCAGCCGCACAACCTTGTCAGCGTTCCCTATCCCATTGACTGCCCAGGATGTGGGGCTGGGGGGCCGACCGGGCTTTGTCCTCCCGGGCTGAGATGTCAGTTTGATAAGTTTTTAATCATCAGATGGTGTGCCAGTGCTGGTGGTGGACAAGGAGGAGACAGAAGAGCACCTTGGTACTTCGCTTTCCGCCTTTGCCTTGGGGAGGCAGGAAAGGGAGAAGGAAATGCGCCCCTTCTCCCCGTTTCCACCGCAGGAGTCGGCGGGAAAGGCGCGGTTTCGTGCAAGGACCCGAGCCCCGGAG